CTGATCCTAGACTTTTGCCAACTTTTGTTTGAATTCTGTTTCTAATACTTTGACTGGCGGTGGCGGTGTTTGACAAAATAAACTTTTTGCTCGGGACGTTATTACGTTATTCGTTATTATTACGTTATAACGATTATTATAACGATTTTATTACGTTAGACGTTATTCCTAAAGTATGTTCTGAAGGTACCCACATATATATTATACGACTATACCGTCGTTTCTTAAAAAGAAACCGACACATATTTGGTATATGCTGCTTTTGGCTAAGTGCGAGGCAGGACTTTGTACAACCCCACGTGAAATGCATACTGTTTCACTGCGAATGACTCAAAATTAACAGTAGAGTGAAGCGGTCTGGTTGTTGCTTGTGCCCTTGACTGTGCCAGACTGTGCCTAAAAAACACTGGGAAACACTACCCTCATAAAACTTAGTAAAGTAATCTTGCATAAAACCACTGGGACGCTCAACTAATTCCTCTAATCCAACGAGGGCTCAGTTCCAGATGGAACCGAGGGCGTCGGTCTGCCGTCCCATTGCGTCCCTCTCCCGTTTAGTGGGACAGTTACCATGTAGACGGGCTGAGGGTGAAGTGACCCAACGCCGCAGTGTGCGGTGCGGTGCACCGGTACTGTGTGTGGTTAAAGGCACTGGCGGATCCAGGCTTGCGTTTTGGGGGGGGGGGGGGCAACTCATGCAGGAGCCAAACCTTGGGTACCCCCAAATCCTGTTTTCTCATCGGATTTAGGCCACTTATTTTTCGTCACAGCCCTGACACTATGATTTTTTTTTTAACTGAAAAGAAAAATATATAAATGGTAGCCCACCCGACCCATGCCTTTATATTACTTTGTAAACACCTACCATTGTTTTTATCGACCAGTTAAAGGGACCCTCCCACCTTAACATTAGATTTGAGCTGAGATAGCCAAAATGGGGTCCCTGGCTCACAATTACCGGTTTCGGCACGCACTCACAACATCGAGAAATGCCTTAAATCGGAAATATTGAATTTCAAAATTGCAGCATTTTGATTCAGAGGGGCTGATGCTTTTGGATACCCCTCTGAATGTGTGACGTCAGCGGAGATCTAATGATTTTTTTTTTTAATATTTTACTAAAACGTTTGGTAGCATGCGGTGGTATAGGCTGCTTTGCGCGCAACAAATGCCGCACTTTCAAATAAAGTCGCTAGGAACAGCAGCGGATATCCCAAAAAGTAAACAAAAATAAAAGTCTAATCTCTTGAAAACCGGTGAATATTTTTCGATAAAATTTGGTAGATATTCGTTTTCGCCCTTTCTGAACCTAGCGACATCACTTTCATGCCAATTCATTAACTTTTTTGAAGGTGGGAGGGTCTCTTTAACCCGCTTCGAGTCAGTGCTTGGGTCCCTTTGCGGGCCGGAGGTGGTAAAACAGCCCTGTCTAACTCGGCTCCTGGGCCACGCCCTGATTGAACTATGTTTCATTATCGTTTGGGGGAGGGGGAAAACGGGCCACTTTAGGCCTCTGGGAAGGGGGCATGGCCCTAAATGCCCCCTCCCTGGATCCGCCAGTGTAAGAAGAGACCATTGGAGCTGCAGTTGGGTACCTCAGACATCAGGGTACGCCCTCAGATGTATGTATAGGACTCGCATGGAGACCTCTTATGCTATAGTGTACTGAAAGGACCCAAAGGAGCCTGTCTATATGGGCTCCCGGAGATAGACGTGGGCCCTCAGGAGCCCGCCAGAGCCCCAATGAGGGATAAGTGAGGGATACCAAGTGCCTACAATTGCATATTGCATAAGCCATAACGCCTTTACAAATCAATATATTATGCATCAGTGGCAGATCCAAGGGGGGCCACATGGGTCATGACCCCCTTGGTGCCCGGGGGCACCACAGGCCTGTCAGGGGCACCACCGGCCTAGTAGGGGCACCACCAGCCCGCCAGGGGCACCACAGGCCTAGCAAGGGCACCACGGGCCTGTGAGGGGCCCCACAGGCTTGTCAGGGGCACCCCAGGTCTGTCAGGGACACCATAGACCTGCCAGGGGCGCCGCCGGCCTCGCTGGGGCACCATGGGCCTGTCAGGGACACCAGAGGCCTAGCAGGGGTACCACAGGCCTTACAGGGGCACCACCGGCCTTGCAGGGGCACCTTGGGCCTGTCAGGTGCACCACAGTCCTGTCAGGGCCCAGGGGCACCAGCGGCCTAGCAGGGGCACCACAGGCCTGCCAGGGGCACCACCGGTCTAGCAGGGGCACCATGGGCCTGTCAGGGGCCCCACCGGCCTCGCAGGCATCACGGCATCACGCAGGGGCACCTTGGGCCTGTCGGGGGCATCACGGGCCTGTTGGGGGCACTTTAGGCTTGTCAGGGGCACCACAGTCCTGTCAGGTCCCAGGGGCATCAGCAGCCTAGCAGGGGCACCCTAGGCCCGCCAGAGGTATGTACCACAGGCCTGCCAGGGTCCAGGGGCACCACAGGCCTAGCAAGGGCACCACGGGCCTGTCAGGGGCACCTCAGGCTTCCGTGCCCCCCTCCCTCCCCCCAGATCCGCCAGTGATGCCACACCACGCGAAACACCGCCAACTACCAGCTGCCGCGCCATAAACACGTGCCAACAACAGTCTTTTTTTTTAAGGTCGACTCCGCTCGCGCAACTTTTGACTGACCCTCACTGCTACTATATTGCTTCTATATTATGCTGTGGAAAGCTTTACTTCACCAAGTGGCTAAAAACCTCCATCAAGGTATATTTTCTTAGCAATTTTTCTGGCGTTTTGGGGGGGGGCAAACAGGCCACTTTAGGCCTTTGGGGGGGGGGCATGGCCCCCGTGGCCCCCCTGGATCCGCCAGTGGTTAAAGGGACCCTCCCACCTTCAAAAAAGTTAATGAATTGGCATGAAAGTGATGTCCCTTGGTTCAGAAAGAGCGAAAACGAATATCTACCAAATTTCACCGAAAAATATTCACTGGTTTTCAAGATATTAGGCTTTTACTTTTGTTTACTTTTTGGGATCTCCCCTGTTACTAGCGACTTTAGTTGGAAGCAATAATTTGGCAGCCTTAAAGTGCGGCAGACGTTGCGTGCAAAGCAGCGTATACCACCACGTGTTAACGATGGTTTTAGTCTAAGATTTAAAAATCGTTAGATCTCCGCTGACGTCACAAATTCTAAGGGGGCATTCCAATGCATTAGCCCCTTAGAATCCGAAAACTGCAAGTTTGAAATTCCATATCTTCGAATTAAAGCATTTTTCGATGTTGTGAGTGCCCAAACCGGTATTTGCAGGCCATGGCCACCAATTTGGCTATCTCAACTCAAAACTAATGTTAAGGTGGGAGTGTTGGTGTTACTGTTTGGGAATTTGAAACTTTAAGAAGTGTGACATAAGTTTTCCTGGATCAACACTACTCTTTTAAATAGGTATGAAAACATTATTTGAATTTTGACGACGGTTTTGTAATATTTACTAATGCAACGAAACCCATTAAACTGGTGTGGATTATTATCTTGACAGAGGACGACAAACTCAGAAAACGTGTTGACTGATTTATTATTTAGATCTTCATCTATAAACTATGTTTTAATTAACGCATGAGCCGAGGGAGAAGGGGGCGTTTACAGTACACCTCCCCCCCCCCCCCAGCAGGGCCTGGTGGAAATCCAGGGACCCGAGCGGGGCACGGGTTAAGTGGTTATTATTTTTCCACAGCAATTTACGCATTGAATTGAATAATTACACAATCAACTTATGCATTGAATAATTATGAATTAGCTACTTCGAGCATGCCTCAAATTTGCATAACCGAGCAGCAGATCATCATTTTTGGTTTCAGGGGGAGAAAGGGAGTGTTGCAAACGTCGCATGCAGCAGAGATTGGAGTTTTCTGTTGCTGCACTGGAACGTGGCTCGCCAAATTATTTTAAAGGCAGGGCTCGTCCGAGATTTGAACCCGGGACCTCTCGCACCCGAAGCGAGAATCATGCCCCTAGACCAACGAGCCATAAACACATTTCCACAACACCTTTTTGGCGGCCGAGCTGAATGCCCTCCTTTCACTCGATTGCCCCGCCTCAGACGGCGCGAATATGGCCAGAGTCACGCCCACAATACTACGCCACCGTTCGACGACTAGAAACCGGGCCGTCCTGTATGTACACCAGAGAGCCGACCGATCCGTCATTTCGATCCTCAGGACAGTCAAATCCTCCTCGACGCCTCAACCCCGTGTTCCGGACTGGACGGGCAACTCGCCCATATGCAGGTGCGGTGAGTGTTAGGAGGCTGGTCGGCCCGTCCTCTGGACGGGCTCGGCCCCGACGGCTCACCAGGGTGCGCGCCCGGACCAACGTCTCTCCCTAATTTCTATCATCGTTCCGGCCCTTGAATGGTCTCGTCAAACCGAAAGGGCCTATCCCAACAACACAAGCAAAAACCAGACAGCAGGCTACGGAAATATCACCAACCACTTCGTTCGTGGCAGGAACCCATAACCATCTTCACTACGCTAACAATTGAGAATGGGACATAAAAGGCAAAGGAGCTTATCTCCTTTGGTCCTTAGCCCCATCTTCCCATGGGGCCATTCCCATATCGCTTGTTCGCCGCGTCTTCCTATGTTTTGTCGGAGACAACGCCTATTGAGTTAGGCCAGGGTCCTCTTTTTCGTTTCAGGAAACGACGGCAATCTAGGTTGTGAATGCACAGAGAAGATACATGCGTGTTCGGTGCTGATTGGACAATTTCCGCATAACATTGAAACGTCTAGGAACATTTCATGAGATATGCTTTCCTCGCGTGGTTGGTGCTACCATGTGATTGGTTTATGAATCACTCGTTTACTACTGCCTCGGGTAGAACAGCATGCAGCAGCAGCAAGCTGTCATCAACATCCATCAGACCAGGATGTCGATGACGCCGCCACCACCTGTGGTAATCAGCGTCCCATTGAAGCTGAGGTATAAAGTCGGCTTTTGGAGGCACCACGGCACCAGTCTAGCAGTTCTGCCTCTAGAAGTCTATGCAGTTTCATCTCTAGTAGTTTAACATGTTCCGCCTTACGATCTGCTGCCTCGTCCTGGGCGCTGCCCTCGCCAAGCCAGCTGAGAAGGCCTCGGACAAGTCAGCCTCCTCGGATTCGGAGCTGCTCCATTCGCTGGATACTGCTATTACAGTCGGCGAGTCCCGAGGTTTGAATGATGAACTTCAGCCGCTGCCCAAACCGACCACCAAATCCGCAATCCAGGGACTGATGCAACATTACATCCTCTGCCCTGGCGAGTACTACTTTACATCAACCAACTATCCCAGCAACTACCCTAATAACGATTACTTCTCATTTTTCCTCACCACAACTGACGGTCAGTCGATGACAATCAACTGTAACCCTTTTGACGTCGAGTCACACTCCACCTGCGCCTACGACTGGCTTCAGCTCGGAAGCACTAAGTACTGCGGTTCTGGCGCCGTCACCGCCTCTGGCCCATGCATGTCCGTGGAGTTCAGCTCTGACAACAGCATCACCGACTCCGGGTTCAACTGCACCATCACTGTGTAATGCCATCCAAGAACAACCACCAAGATCGTGACCCCACCCAAGAGTGGCTACCCGAGGTGCGTCCTCATGACAGCTTCCGTGGCGAGATGACCTCAACGTGTGCACTTCTGTTATTGATTATTGACTTTTGCCAGCTTTTGCTTAGATTCGGTTTCCAATTCGATGAGCAACGGTGGTGGTGTCCGTTAAAAATAAACTTTCTGCTCGGGACCTATGGTTTTGTAAGTGCCCACCTGCCCTACAACCGGGGGCGCGGGAACTACTTTCAGACTAGGGGGCACACTATAATAGAGATCAACCTAGGGTTTCCCCAAATCTAGTTTTCTCGCCCGTTTTAGGCTACTTATTTTTCATCCCTTAGCTTTTCCAACAAAAAAGAAAACATTTGCAAAAAAGTGCAGTATTCCGTCTCAAAGTTTAGGGGACACTAAGAGATCGAAATCGGCCCTTTGAGGCCGATTTCGATCTCTTAAGCCCGGTTCCGACTATGAGGTTGCTTCAGGCCACATCAGGCCAGATCAGGCCAGATCAGGCCCAATCAGGCGTTCAGGCCAAAGTTGAACGTCGGACGCTCGGCCTGATCAGACCGTATGGGACGCCAGACGCCAGACGTCAGGCGACAGGCGTCAGGCCGTCGGTCTGCCTCACCAAATATCTTTTAAATGTGTGCGTGTTTTTTTTTACCAGCGAGAGCGAATTGCGATTTTCTAAATAGCTTACAAGTCTGAGCATGAGCAGCCCGGCGCGGTTTGGCGCAGCTCGTAACGCTTATGCGAGGCTTTTATCTCAGCAGCCGCTGGGCCGATTGACCTATGGTCTTTTTTTTTGTTAGGTATAGCCTCATCCCCATCCCTTCCAGCTCGAAATTGACTACTCATGATGCATCGAGGTGACTGTCGTGGCACGTGTGAAGTCAAGGGTTTCATAGTTGTTTCGCTCGGTCAAAGTAACGATTTTGATAGGCTCATATCTCAGCCAAATCTGTGGCGATCGACCCATAGTCTTTTTTGGTATCTTCTTCCCATACCAGACTATGTACTCTCGATGCATGTTTGTTGCCCCTTCCCCTGCACGTGCCACGTGCAAAATGAAGAGGTGTCAAATTCGCTCTCATTACAACAACTAGGTAAATGCTGGGCCGATTGCGCTGGAGCTTCATATGTCGGTAGGCGTCCACCGGACAATGCATTTCAACGTTTCACATTTGGGGTCCTACTGCACGTGCGCACGTGCGTCGTGCAGGGACCGCTTCCACATCTCAAGAACGGCTGGGCCGATTGCTCTCAAATTTGGTACACCGTTAGAGGTCGACTAGAAGGGTGTCCCACACAAGTCAGTTGGGGTCCAGTATGCACGTGCGCACGTGCAGACTGCTGCTTCTACATCTCGAGAACGGGTGGTCCGATTGCGCTCAAATTTAAAGTACACTGTTACGGACTGGTTAGAAGCGTGTCCCGCACAAGTCAGTTGGAATAGGTATTGTTTCGCACTTCCTCGTTTGATGAGCTCAACTCTCGTGCTCGCCCGTTTGTCAGCTCCAAAGACGTTTTACTGGTATAATCGCTCTATATAATGAAAACCTGAAACCGATAATCTTAATCATACTGCGTAACATGTTTTAATGTGGTTTTAAGTAATAAAAACATGATTTTTATCGAAAATCTAAGAAGTGGCTAAAAGAAAACAGAAAAGACATGCATGTTCTTATGTTGTAGGTTCTTATGTGCTTTGCAGACAATTACCACACTAACAAAGATATAAGCATTGACGCAACTCAACTCCGAGAAATAAGAGCCCGTTGTTTATGACACTTTTCATGTCATCATGTAGGGTCTCGATTAGCTTGACCTAAACAAGGTTTGCTTTTTTGCTCACACATATAGGTACCCGCTGTGGTTTCCCGCCACAAATTTATCTTGCACATGGAACATGTCGACTTAAGAGTTTAGTTTCTTGTCTTCCCGTCAAATTTCTTTGGTCTGGAAATGAGTCTCCCCGGCCAAGCTGCCATTCGATATAGGAAAGGTCCTTTTGTGCCGTGGGGTCCAGGGGGGCGAATGGAGTAGCGATTGGTTCCATTCAGTCCGAGTCATGACAGAGAGTCACGGGATCTAGGAGAGGTAGCGGGAGCCTGTTCGGTGCCGGCGACGATGAGTTTAGTTGCCGCAGAAGACACCGCAACAGCTCGGCAGAGGTTCGTGGCATCGAGGGCGACCGAGAGCGAGTGTCCTTCTCGAGCAAACTTTCCAAAAGTTTACTTTCATCCCTCCCTGGTGTTTGCTGGAGCGGCTCATATCAGGCGCAGCCATCCGTTACTGTTCTAAGCTAGGCCTCCCGGCCCGGGAGCTCAGACGGGGAAGGTGGACGAGCTGGATTTCTTATGCGCGACAGGTCAGGCGGCTGTAAAGGCTGTCTTGAACCTGGATCTTCCACCATAGCCCGATTTATTTCTCGTAAGCTTGAATGGTTATCTTGCTACGATATTGATGAGTAGCACATTATTTTTTGGAATCAATTTTAAAAGAAACGCTAATTTGGTTGAAATAATGTTGGACTTGTCGAAACAAACGTTCATAATTAATTTAAACAAAACAGCAATCAGTAGCAACCATGGGAGTTATTCATCCTTCAAAGCCCGAAATGACACAAATTAGGCCACAATAAAAATCAAATAAAAAAGAACCATGCGCAACGTCTCGTGCCTAATTCATACTGGGTCTGTTTTTTATGTGCATTTATATAAATAGGCACTTTTATTTTGCAGTGTCAAAAAGGGCACGATTTCGAATACCACGCATTGTCACGTCGCAAATGCGCCAATGCAAATTCAAAATGGCGGGCGCAGCGTCAGGATCAGGCCGGATCAGGCGCAAAAAGTTGACTTGAAGTTAACTTCGGCCTGATCTGGCCTGAAGGTCTGATCAGGCCAGTTCAGGCCGGATCAGTTGCTCCGGTTCGCACTAGCATGCCGTCAGGCCGTAAGCCTTTTCCAGCCTTTTTGGGAATTATTGGGCCTGATCTGGCCTGATTGGGCCTGAAGTGACCGTAGTCGGAACCGGGCTTTAGTGTCTTGCGCTGGTTGAAGGCTGATAACCCAAACTTTAGAAAGGCCAAACTCGGGTAAGAGGGTCCCTCATCTCGCCTCTGATGGCTCCATGTCGCCCACATTGGCATCACTCCGACCTCTGAAGGCTCATGCTGGCCTCTGAAAGCCCCACACCGGGTACATAGTGACCCACGCTGGCTTAAGGGCCCCATGATGGCCTCAAGAGATCCATGCTATTGCTCACCTCACGGGGCCGCACGCTGGCTCTTGAGAGCTATCAAGTCAGCCTCTGATGGTCCCATGCCGCTTTCAAAGAACCCAAGCCAGCTCTAGATGCCTATGATGGCTCCTGAGGCCTCTAAGGCCGCTAAGACCTTTAAGGGCCAAGCTCACACCTCAGAGGGCCCAAACATGCATAAGGCTTGTAATAAGGCTGTCGAGGCCCTTTAGGTGGCCTCTGATGACCCGCCGCCAGCCTTTGAAGGCCCCGCGTTGGCTTCTGAGGGTCCAGCACCAGCCTCTGAATTCAGAGGACAGAGGGCCCCACGCTGGCCCCAGAGTGCCCACACCGGCCTCAGAGGCCCCCATACCGGCCTCAGAAGACCCTACGCTAGTCTACGAGGGTTCACATGGTCTAGAGAGGGCCTCAAACTGGTCTCGGTGGGCCTCAAATTGACCTCAGAAGGCCACACGCCACTGGGCTTAGAAAGTTAGAAGACCCCACGCTGGCTTAAGAGGGCCCAACCAACGCTGGCCTTAGATGGCCCACGCTGGCCAAAAAAGTAAAAGGATTCCACGTTGTCTTCAGAGGATCCCAAGCTGGTCTCAATGGGCCTCAACCTGACCTCAGAAGGCCCTATACCGCTGGGTTTTGAGGATCCCACGTTGGCCGTAGATTGCCCCACGCTGGTCTAGGAGGGCCCCATACTGGTCTTTAACCCGCGCCCGGCTGGGGGTCCTGGATTTCCACGCCCTGCTGGGGGGGGGGGTGTTTGAACACCCCCCCCCCCCCTTGTAACTCGGCTCCTGGGTCACGTAGCGATACGCGGAAGGCGGCGTTCGAAAGAGCGTCAAAAATAATGACGAAATCACTTCGGTCAATTTTTTGGTCAGGTCAAAGGTCAGGTCACCAGAGGTCATGAAGGCAAAATTTCGCCGATTTCCAGGTCGAATGTCGAAAATTTCCAAGAAGCCAACGCATAACTCGGGAACCAATAGAGCTACAGCGCAGCGGAAAAGCGCATTCGATAGCCCTATTAACGCCCTTTCTGATTAATTCTCTCAGATTTGACCTAACGTCAACGGTTTTGCCTGCAGGGGGCAAAAACTGCAAAAATAGCCGATTTTTTCGGAAATAGTTTTTTCTGCAATAACTTTTGACCCAAGCCTTGTACGAGCTTACTTTTACCGGCATCATGTTCCTCTCGTCAAGACGCATCGAATGAACTATAACTTGACCTTGAAAGGTCATCTTGAAAATTTGACCTCAGGTCAAGGTCATGACCTGACCGGAAAGGGTCATGTTGCATATCAGTCGATCCGTATCGTCGAGCTGAACACATCTAAGGCGTTTTCATCGCTCTAGCATACCTCTATCAAAAGTTATTTGCGAAAAACTGTTAGATACCATTCGTGACCTAAGATGACCTCAGGGCATAAACAAGGGTCACGGACACCATTTTCATGTTCTGTGTGTCTAAACCACTTGAAATTCGCTGTTTGGGAGTGTTTATGATGTCTTTCGTCCAAAAGAGGCGCATTTCAATTTTCTCCCATTAACTTATAATGGGGAGGTCGCAAAATTGACCTGACCTTAGGTCATCGATATCAAAATTCTGAGATATCCATTTTGTACATGCTATTGCTCTTAGCAATCGCTGAAAGTTTCAAAGCGATCGGTCACTCGGTGTAGCTATGACAGACATTGAAACTTTTTATGAGGTGAGGTCACTTCAAGTGACCTGGTGACCTGACCTTGAATGACCTTGGTCTGAAATTTTCACAACATGTGTAGAATTGATGTATGATAAGGTGTACCAAAAACGGCGGCGCTCCGCGCCGCCGTTTTTGAGATATTCGCGAAAAACCACAAGGGAGGGTGTTCAAACACCCCCCCCCCAGCAGGGCGCGGGTTAAAGGGCCCCACGCTGGCCTTCGAGGGCTGTGCGCTGGCTTCTTAGGGCTCCACGCCAGCGTCAAAGGGCCCCACACTCAAGTCTAAGCTTCTTTAGGGCCGCCAAAGCGACCTCTAAAGGCCCCATGCTGGCCTCTGGGGTCTCGACCTCGGCGTCTAAGGGCCCTCAGCTACGCTACGGCCCTCCTACGCTGGCCTCTGAGGGCCCTCAGCTGGCAAATTAAGATAGTTTGGACGTTGTTTGACTTTACATATGCTTGGGCTAGTACTTCAGATGAGGCCCTGGAGGTCGTTTCTCTTGAGACAATCAGGTGACTTGTGTGTCTGAAGCCAAAGGCCATGGCTTCTTGGCCTCCCCCCGGATACGCCACTGAATGTGGATCGCTCTTAAATGTTCCATACGATGGGCACGAGATTTCCGCCATCAAGTTCCAGCCTGGACCGGCGGTCAGCGATCGATGTCCACCAGATCCGGACCGGCCGCTGGGTGGTTCGATCCAACACCTCGACGCAATCGGACACAGCCCTTCAGCCGCCTGCGTCCAGTGTCGGGACACGCTCCGCGGGACACGCACCCAGTGTCGGACACGCACCCAGCGTCGGACACGCACCCAGTGTCGGACACGCACTCCTAGGAGGCGAACACCCGCGGCACATCCTGCTCGACGTGCCCGGGTCTGATGGGTGTCCGCCTCGGAATCCTGGCTTTATGGAGCATCCTGTCAACACCCGACGAGATCTGGCGCAGTGACGTGGTGGCGGCCCTGGTGGCCGCCTTCAGGGCCCTCCAGAGCCGATGAGGCTATGCCGCGGGACCACCCGCGGCACGAGGGACCAACATCAACAACAGCAACAGCTAGGAGACGGACGCCTCATTCACCAGACCACACGTAGGACTGGATAATATGGCGGGCGATGTTGCCCTCAACACCAATGAGGAGCGCTGTGCCTTATCACCTGCCGATCCCGGGGCCAAACTGAGATGCGCTGCCCAACATTTTCAAATCGAGGGAGAGTGAACTAATATTTGAGTTGTGCTGCAGAACACTGAAGTGCACTGTCCTGGAAGGCAGCTCTTAAATTTCTTCTAAAGGCAGGGCTCGTCCGGGATTTGAACCCGGGACCTCTCGCACCCTAAGCGAGAATCATACCCCTAGACCAACGAGCCACAAATACTGTCGGAGAACGTCGTATTCGTGGCCGAGCCGAGTCAGCTCCTTTCACTTGGCTGCCCCGCCCAGCCGGCGCGAATGCGGTCAGCGCCACGCCCATCATATTACGCCACTATAGCCGGAAAGAAACCAAACCGTTTCGTACACCAAAGAGCAGCGGCCAACAGGTTCACCAACCTCATTGGAGAGAAGGGCACCATGGTGGGGTCTATTCCCGTGGCTGCTCCAACTTCCTCTAGGCTCCTCTATAAGCATCCTCTCGTTAAAAAATTGTTTCCGTCGCTCCTCCAAGCACCACTATGTAGTCATATCCCGATTCCACAACTAACCGCTGTTCTCCTCCCCCCTCATCTCAAACGTAAGTTGGGATTATGCCTATGGAAGACTAAAGGGTTCTCCTCGAAGCTCATCCAAACTCCTCCGATTTTTTGAAATTATTTTAGATCAGCCACGGGAACACACTGATGGTTCTTACGACGCCACCTGGCCGGGGGGAGGGGGGGGGGGGGGCGTGAGGCTTTGTGAATTGTGACTGAGCGCAACGACGGCTACATAGCATTGACCGTGGCGATGAATGTGTGCTTGCTTGTGTGAGTTGAGTGTGGATGAATGCCCGTCTTACCCGCTTTTTATGTCTTAATTTGACACCGAGCAACGTTAGCCTCCGGATCATCGTTCAAAGCTCCAAGAACGTTTAATAAATCACAATCTACAATGGGAGGTGAAAGGCATAGAAGTTTACCTCCATAGCTCTTCAACCCATTTCCCATGTCCTATCCATTGTCCATAGGATCTTCGTGTGTTCAGTTGCAGATAGCATCTATTTAACCAGGGTCCTCTATTACTTGCTCCGTAGTAACGGCTTTTTCGTTTTAGCAAAGGGCAAATGAGGCTGTACCTGTACTTAGGGAGGGTTTATGCTGGTTTGATGCTGATTGGGCAATTTCTGCTTTACATTAACCCTATTCCTGGCGGGCTCCGCCGGGACAAGAAACTGGCGGGAGGGGGCCGATTCGGCCCCCCTTCAGATCTCAAAAACTACACATCGCAGCGACAAACGGCGAACGGCGTTTGATAGGTCGTTTAAAGATCTACAACTTTTACATAAAACATTTTCAGGTCAGGTCAATATTGAGGTCACCAGAGGTCATCAACGATAAACTGTTTTGGAATTAGTTACCTATATAACTTTTAAACTAAGAAACATAGAGACATAAAACCAATACATTTTTTGTTGCTCTCGCCGAGGCGATGCGAAATAAGTATGTGATGACTTTCACAGGTCAATTTGAAATTTGACCTGAGGTCAAGGTCAGGTCATTCATCAATGAGGTTGTGGGGTATGGTCATGCTGCATACCAAACGACGCGCCTTGACCAGGCGAGCAGTTTGGTACCACTTACAAGTCTTTAGCACCATCATGTCGTGATTTATTTACAGAAAAACGATTTATGACGTCACATGACCTCAGATGACCTTTACCGCTGCCCCTGTCAATTAGCGGCACCAGGATCATCACCGATGAGATAATCTTCCATAATACTGAAAGAATTGGGTGGTTTTGACTCGTTTACACGAAGCAGGAGGCGTTTCAATATTTTCCCATAGGCTTGCAATGTAAAGGTCACGAGTCTGGCCTGACCTCAGGTCACAGATATGAAAATTCTGAGATATACAAATTGCACATACTGGTACCCTAACTAAAGCCTGAAGAGAAGAAATTGATCGGTCAAAAACTCTAGCTCTGGCGTGATTGCAAACTTTTCTGAGGTAGGGTCACCAAACCGCCTCTGGTGACCTGACCTGAGGTCAGATCAACTCAAAATTTTCAGAAATGTTGCGTAAAAGCCTTTTAGTAAAAGTCAGAAAATTTGAGCTTCCTAGCTCAAAGCGTTTGGGAGAAATAACCAAAAAACCTCAGGGGGGGGGGGGGGGCTCCTGAGGCCCCCCCCCGCCAGGAATAGGGTTAAAACGTCTAGAGACATTATTTCATGAGCTATGCTCTCCTCGCGTGTTTGGTGCTACCACGATATTGGTTCCTGAATCACTCGTTTATCCCTTCCTCGGATACAGCAGCAGACAGCAGCAGCAAACTGTCATCAGAACGTGATGGCGGTGACGCCGCCACCACCTGTGGTAATCAGCGTTCCATTGTAACCGAGGTATAAAGTCAGCTCTGGGAGACACCACGGCACCAGTCTAGCAGTTCTGCCTTTGGAAGTCTAGCAGTTCCACCTGTAGAAGTCTATCATGTTCCGTCTCACGATCTGCTGCCTCGTCCTGGGCGCTGCCCTCGCCAAGCCAGCTGAGAAGGCCTCGGACAAGTCAGCCAACCATGCCTCGAAGTCGGAGATGCTCCATTCGCGGAAGACAGTCATCGAAGTCGGCGAGTCCCGAGGTTTGAGTGATGATCCTCAGCCTCTGCCGAAACCGACCACCAACTCTACGGACCTGCGGGGAATTGACTATTTCCTCCTCCACCCGGGACAGTACTACTTTACGTCCACGAACTATCCCAACAACTATCCTAATTACGACTACTTTTGCTACGTCTTCGAAGCAGCCAGTGGCAACCCGATGGAAATCTGCTGCAATCCTTTTGACGTTGAACCGCACCCTAACTGCGACTACGACTGGCTCCAGCTGAACGGCGACAAGTTCTGTGGATCCGGCACCTTTTACTACTACGGCTCGTACATCGTTGCTGAGTTCAGCTCTGACGGTAGTACCACCTACCCAGGCTTCTACTGCACCATCACCGTGTAATGGCATCCAAGGACCACCGTAACGACATCCAAGAACCACCGGCATCCAAGAACCACCGTATAATGGCATCCAAGAACCGCTGCGAAGATCGCGACCCCTTCCACGAGCGGCTGCACTTTGTGATAGCCTCCGTGGCGAGATGATCCCAACGTGTGCACTTCTGTTACTGATCCCGGACTTTGCCAACATTTGTTTTGATTCGGTTTCTGATTCGATGAGCAACGGTGGTGGCGTCTGTTATAAATAAACTTTCTGCTCGGGACCTCTAGTTTTGCAAGAGCCCGCAACTTTTTTTGTCTTCAGGGTTTTTTTTGCCTTCACGTTCACGGTGGGCCCCCTTTGCTACGTCCCTGTCCCCTATTAAAAAAAGAATTACCTATATGATACACTCAAAGTACAATAAGTCATCAAAATTAAAAAACGGAATATATGTTATAGCCTCTGACGTTCTCAATCGACTTCCCAAATGTGAGATCGATACCTCTTTTTGGCCCAGTTATGGTGAGAAAAAATGTTAGAAATTGATTACGTCAAATTTTCGAAGTCAATTTTAGCCGTTCTAGACTGCGTAGCGGAAAACAAAAACCACCATTAGATTTCCCGTGACGAGCTGCATCGAATCGATACCTTTTTACGCAAAAAAGGAAATCCAACCTCATTTTACGCTTTGACCTTGACCTGACCCTCACCAGAACGTAGCCTGAACTGGCAACAATGGTTACCTATTATTTACCATGTAAAATGGACCATAAACATGTAGCACTTGACCCTGGCTCATATTGTGACCCTCAATGACCTGACCTCTGTGACCTGACCCTGGTATCGGTGACCTCAACTAGCAAAATATCTGTTAGAGAAAGCAGTCCTCTATCGATGATTTTTAATAACATGACTTTTACTCGATTTTAAAACACATTTCTTATGAATGCATGTATATAAATAGTGAAAAAATGCGACCTTTGACCTGATCTGTGCGGTCATCGATTGGACCTAGGTCAAGGCAATTGGGTCACCAGATAGTTTTTCAGTGGGGCTATTGTAGCGAGGGGATTTAGAAAAGAAGAAGAAAGAGAGGATAATAACTGCTTCCTTGCGGGTAATCAAACGCCTTCTTTGCGGTTGATCCAGCACCGCGGTCCACTGTCGTTCAGCTGGTTGTAGAGGAACAGAGCTATTTGCTGCTGGAATGAACTCGATAGTTGAACTGGTAGAACAGGGGAGCTTGAGAGTCTTGGAAAAGATCCCGAGATAGATCTAGAGAGAGATCCAGATAGTGATGAGATCCTGAGATAGATGTAGATATAGATCCACCTGATAGAGATTTTGAGATGGTGTTGAGATCCACCTGAGGGAGATGTCTAGAGATCCACCTTGCATACAAATACATCTGATGGAAGATGCTTTTTAATTTAGAGGCTTGATGATTCTGTTCATTGTATAGACCATGATGCACGAGATGCTTCTTCACTGCTCGGATTAGGGATAGAGGTATCCGATCAGCTGGGTTTGCGGCACAGTTGGGCAGGTGAAGGACAGGGCATTCGAAGTCCCGATGACCACTGCCAAACATATGGGTGGTAATTACATTGATAAATTGAATGTGATCATTCGTCCAGTCACCCATTCCTATATCACTGGCCTTCCCATTAAGAAAATTGCCCACTTAATTCGTATTAGCGTTGCTAGTTTTAAGTTGCCCTCGAGATTAATTAGTTTGACTGTCCTAACTGAGCTTCGCTAAACTCCCATCGGCCTTATCCTAAGATTCATCCTTTACCATTCTCACTCTCATCCTCTCTCTACGTTCGTTCGTCATATATTCACCCCAAATTTATTTAGCGCCCCTCGAATTCCCTCCGATGGCGTTAGGTGCCTGACTAATAGCGATCTCCCCGGCGAGATAAATGTCTCTTTCCGAAATCCATATGCATGCTCCGCTAACCGGCGACAAAGATACTTACCGCAGGGCCGTCCAGAATAATTGCATAAATATCCACCCTACTAATTTATGGGATTCACTACACGACCGATAGACTTATGGTACACACATACACGATTTATATCCGACTTATCTCTCTACCGGGAGAGATTACCTATGCCCTCTTCCGGTCCGCGTGTAACATTCCCGTTCACGACCCAGGGACCCTAGTTCATATCCTGGAACTATCCTTAACCATGGGATTTACTATTCAAGGCCTTACGTGTCCTGGAGTACATTCTTCCCTCCCCTGAGGCTGTCCAGTACCGATTAGAGTACCTTTACGAAATAAGTATGAGGACTTATCCGGGACACTACGGCTCGCCTTATCCGCCCTTTGGGTGACTCACCCCTGACCTTCGGCTTCTTGCCTTTGGCATAACTTACTCTCCACTGCATACTGTGCCAATCTTCCCCTTCCCCCCCTGCCGTAGAAACCTCTCACTGCCTTCTCACCCAGTGTTACCTAAGCGGGAAAATTAACAGTGGCCGGTACCACTGGCGGAAAACGTGCATATGCCCTGCGTACGTGACGGTGTGTCCCTCTTATTATTCCGGTCTGGACGTGGGTTTCGAGAAGTGCATCTGTGTCTCATACAGTCATGCTGGTAAACGTTACGCCATAGGAGGCGGGCAAACAAGCCGTCTGTGCCTCACAATGCCCTGTGCCAATATTGTTGGAGTAATTATTGGCGCTAACTCGCAAGAACGCGAATAGCAGAAACGCATAATTTAACCAAATCTAATCGTAATCTCAAGTCCTAATTGCTGCTACACGCGTGAACCTTATCATCAGTTCTCGTATACAATCCTAGCAGACCTTGAACCGCTCTTGATTTAATCAGACATATGATCTAGAACCAATTAACACGCATCGATCTGCCGTCTGGTTGTGATCCACCGTACCATAGTGAATTACTGAATGCTCAAACGGAAATGCCTCCTTGAAACTCGTTCGATAGCTTCTGATGGGCTACTAGTTACCTAAACAAATTATCTTTATAGAGTGCCAGAATATTGTCATAGGGTCCCTAGCCTTTCATAGGGAATCTAATTTAAATCATCCTATTAGCAGTAAACAATGCGCATCAAACGAAGTGCAGTCCTAGATATCATATAGCATATCATATTTAACTGTCTACGTTCTTATCCCGTTGCAACTTTCCGCAACTAACCAGACTCCTATACGTGACCTTCACCTACCGCCCGCGCCCCAATTACGGCTAACCCACTGCCCCTGTTGTGGCTGCTTCTCGCGCCCTCTGGCGGCTCAACGCCCGTGTCGGGAACGACGATTACGACGGCCGCCGGCCGGCGCCGCGTCGACAGTCGACAGTTGTCAAGGCCGCGCCGCGATGGGCGCGTCATCACTCGCGGTGCAGTACTGGTGTGTGCGGTCTCTTCGGGCCGGGAGATTCAACGGCTGTGTCAGTGAGTGTGAATCTGGTAAAATATCGCTTCGATATCTCCCTGTTCGACATCTCATCAGCTCCATTCCACGTAAGTTTTTTTTTTTTTTTTACTCCTGTCCCATTTGATCGTTTCCCAACAAAGCTGGTCCTTTCTAGTATTTATTCTACAAAGCACAACGATCGGTACCTATATTAGTCGCATATTAGTTCTAACCACAAACATTTCTACATCTACCTGTTACTCGACATTTCGCAATTTCAATGACGCAAAGTGACCATCTAAAGTCGCAAAGTGTCAAACCGTCAACCTCAAACCACTGCTCGCAACTATGCACCTAAGTAACAGGAAAAATTCCGCCGTACGCTCAAGCATTCGTATCTGTCGCAAATCATAATTCATAGCCATATTCATAGATCGATCGCATGAATCAGTCGCCACCTTAAAACATTACATTCCTTTCAAACGTATTTACCTGTTCTATAATTGATTTCGACTTCCATTTTAGCTTCCATTTTAGATTACAGCAATATTACCAATGATTTCGCAATGCAACTTTTAGTGAGTACAGCACGAATCTAAACCCTTTATTTCACAAACGTTCCAACCTCAAAACGCACCTGGCCATCGCCCATAATAAATCGAACGAACCATCTTGACCGAAGACAAAGACATTTCAACGTTGTCACGCATCCTGTCATCAATTTCAGCGTTCGTGACACTGAGCTACTGATGTAAATTTTCGGATCTCGCTCTTGGCCTAATCGTGAACTCCCACTGACAATAACGGTTTGCTGGCGACTCTGACATGACCTCGAAATTCAGATCCTAACATGCTACTAGGGTGTCTGGACCAATAAGTTCAAAGTAATTTAAGTTTTCCAATTCCAATTGAGAGTGCATTTTATGGTAACCGAAAATGTTTGGCAGTCGTCACGGGCACGGCACGCTGGGCAGAGGGGGGGGGGGCAAGGATTGGGATTGAGCAGACTTTTCAACAACACTCACATTCTGGAGTTCTCTGCGCTTCCGCTTCTCAGTGTGGTCTCAAGCGTCGGCGGTTGTCCTCCGGCTCTGGTCACTCGAACTGAAGAGGCTTCTCGCGGGTGACCCGGACTGACGGCGGCTCCCAGATGGCGTCTCCGGCTCCAGCTGTGGACTGTGACTCTCGGCTGCTCGACTGTGATTCTCCTCTGGTTGGGTGGCGCACCCTTTTATAGTTGGGGGGGGGGAGGGGTGACTGCCACGCCCTTGCGACGTCATCTTCCTCTGCCTTCTTCTGGTGGGTGGGGCCGTAAGATGGCGCCCTCTGTCCTGTTTAGTCACCTTGCTCCTCTGTGCCTGCAATTTTTGGCCGTCGAATCGTCTTCGTGTTGAGTGCTTTATCATTTTAGTAATCGCTGGCATAAAACAATCCCCGAAAGGTTTGTGATTTTCGAGTTTTAATTTTGATTCTTCAATTTCATTTTATTCAAACTTTTGTTTCCTTCCGTTTCGTCTGCCGGCAACGCCCCTTGTGACGTCACTCTTGCTCCGCCCACTGGCCCGGGTGTGGCCGTAAGTCAGCGCCTTCTTCCTCTGCGGAGATCTCTGGAACTACCTCATGAGGCCATTGTGAGGTCGGTCACCCGGTTGTTTTGCCAGGGTCACTCACCCTGGGCTGATGTACCCGACAAAGGAGGCTGTGTGCTCCAGCCGGCATCCATCCTTGACACTGCTCCATGATCTGTTGACATATCTTACTGATCCAGCGCTCCCAGCCGTTATCTGTCCTCGGCGTGGGTCCATGAGCTGTTGACAATGTTACTGATCCAGCTGTTACTTGTTGGGGTTCGAATCGTTCATCCTGCGGTAGCTGTCTCCAAAAGCGCGCG